ACATCTATTTAAATCAGACGAGGAAACTGAATTTTATAAGGATCTATTTTATACTTCCAAATTAGAAAGAACAACAATATATATAACCATACCAGTTGTTACCACAGGCGACAGTCGTAAATACCATTACATATGTAATGCATTGGAAAAATATGGCAAGACCGACGTCAAGAGTAACACCATGGACCGAAATGATAAACGCTGTACCATGCCTAATACTTACACAAATAATAAAAGTATGGATAAGAGAATAATCACCCGTAACAGCATGGATAAAGAAAATGGCGCCCACGTCAAGAGGCTAGAATATAACAACAATATCGTGGATAAAAAGGATAACAGTTTGGATAAGAATGATAATAAAATGGATATAAAAGAAAACGGGAATAATATGGATAAGAAAGATGATAGAATGGGTAAGAAAGATGATAAGAAAGGTGATATAATGGATAAGAAGGGTGATAAGAAAGATGATAGAATGGATAAGAAAGGTGATAAGAAAGATGATAGAATGGATAAGAAAGATGATAAGAAAGATGATAGAATGGATAAGAAAGGTGATAAGAAAGATGATAGAATTGATAAGAAAGGTGGTAGAATGGATAAGAAAGATGATAAGAAAGTTGATAGAATGGATATGAAAGCAAACAGCATGGACCCAGAAGAGAACAGGAATAATATTGATAAAAATAGCATATATAAGGAGAGCAGGAACAACATGGATAAGGAAGTTGGCAGCTACGGCATGGACATGGGAGATGCTCACAGCATGGTCCGTGATGAAAATGACGAGTGTGATATAATAAATAAGTTAGGGGGTAGACTTAAAAGAATCAATGACAAGTTTAATACGGGTAACAAGAGGGTTAAAAATTATACTTTAAACACATATCAAAAACTTCCACCTTTAGAAAAAGTTTCAAGAATTCCATTATCACAGAAAAGTCAGAAACCAGATTCACAGATGTCTTCCTTGGAATGTTTTAAAATGTACGAACAAACTATTCAATCAAAAGGTTCAACTAAGGTTTCACCTACAGCAACCCATTCTTCAAATACAGTCACCAAAGAAAGACAGAATCAGTGTCCATTAACAAAACGAAACGAACAAGATGCTTTTAACTTAAACAAAATAACTCTACCAAAGATCATACGCACAGATGGCAGTGCTAAAGAATGCCCCAGAATAGCTAAGAAAATACAGAATGGCCAGGTTTTACCAAATCTAATCAAATCAGTACCACCTTTACCCAACATGTATAAACTCAAACCCCCAAGTGTTAAACTAACCAAACGCCCATACGCTGGTAAAAGTAGAAGATTACCGCCAATTTTAGATTTAAACACTAAATTAGAAAAACCAAAAAAACTTTAATCGTAAATAAGTTTTAAAGAAAATACCATTGAATGAACTTGAACATCTAAATATTGCTTTAGTAAATGCAATATAGTTTTAAATAAATGTTCTCTCGAAAACATTATTATTTTCTGAAATTGTGATGTTTCTAATGGAAAGACAAATTGCATAAAAAAGAGCCCATAATGAATTAAATAAAGGATTATGTTATTAGCATCATATGGATTTAATTCTGAAAAGGAAAAATAAATATAGTTAACAATTCATAAACTTTACAGAAAATTATAATCCAATGTAGATTCAATATTGAATTGGAAAACAGAATAATTTCAACAATTGTGTATTTTATATAAATAAAAAAAATATATATATTGTAGAAAAATGAAATACCTTTTAAAAATATACGTCTGACAAGTTGTGTGAAGATATTATATTGATGTATGAAGATAATATTGATGTATGAAGATATTATTGATGTATGCTCGGGTTAAGCAGAGTGAAAAGTAATTTGATTGTTCGATGCAATGAAATGTATATAATGAAATGGGGTTTATCGTCCTACTGTTCCGCCCTGGCCAAATGAAGTCGCGCAAACGCCATACAGTGTGCTCAAACTGCACATAGCGATGCATCTAGTTCGGCGTTTCCCAACCTCTGGGTCGCGACCCAACTTGGGTCGCGAGCACTTTTCGTGGGGTCGCGGACTAGTCTGAGAACTTTAAAAAAATATGCTATCTTTTCATGTAATTTATCTATACATCTTCAATAGAAGGCTTGATCTCGCTTTAACTCCGTACATCTTATCAGGGCCTTCACGTAACACTCTACAATCTACATTTTTCGTCAACAATTTCGATTGGTCTAGGACCCAGCTCTAGACCTCTCAGATTCCTCGATAGAAAATATCATCGCGGCGAATACCAAGTCTTGCGTTTTCCAACTGAAATATTAACCTGTGATAATCGAGTTGCAAAGTTCAAGGTTCGTTCAATGTCAAAGCTGCTGGAAATTTCCAAAACAAAGAGACTTGCCGCTGCCAATTTTCGTGCAAATAAATACTTTTCTGGTCTCTAAAACAGTTTCGATTGTTTTTCCGTGAGTTTTTCAACTGAAAAAAAACTTTAACGGCTGTAAACTTATCTATTCATTGAACATCTTCAGTCACTGATCGATCAGTTCGAACACTACTTCCCCGAGCTCGACGTCTAGTCATTCACCGCGGTCCGAGACCCATGCAGTGCACCATTAGACGCCATCACCGACGATGATATCGCTCAATAGGAGCTCGTGAGACTGCAGCAGGATTCCGGAGCTAAATCACTGTACAAGTCCTTGTCTTTATCCAGTTACGGGGGATCACGTGGCTAAGTGGGTAAGACGCTGGCTCGCTAGTCTGGAGGTCGGGTGTTCGATCCCTGCATTGTCCGAGAAAGTTCATCCAGATTTTCCAGCGTGGTTTCCCCTTGTCAGTGATGCAGGATGGAGGGCCTGACAAGGAAAGCTGTCTAGTCTTTCGGACGGGACGAAAAACCGAGGTCCGGTGTACACATTGGCGTGCACGTAAAAGATCCCTTGACAGTTGGAATTCGATATAAGAGTAGGCCGTAGTGCCGCTGTCCGGGCAAAATTTCCCTCATAGCACACTGTATGGCGTATGCCCGTCTTCATTAGCCCAGTTCGGAGCAGAACAGTAGGACGTTAAACCCCATTTCATTTCATTTCATTTGTCCAGTTACTGGTGCAAAATGCTTGAATCCTATCCACGTCTATCCAAGAATGCAACACGGCTCCTCATGCCGTACCCGTCGTCATACCTATGCGAACAGTCGTTTTCTACAATGGTTGTGATAAAAACAAAATTTAGGAACCGGCTTGAAATAGAAAGGGACATGATTGTGGCGTTGAGCCACGCATTGAAAAACAGGCGCAACCATAACACTGATTAAAAAAATCAATAATTTGTTATTTGTATGATGATTTTGGTACACATGTACATGAAAAGCGAAACACCCAATGCATAGCTTGGAAAACACCTATATGTATCATATCAGATAGAATCGACGCATTATAACTTTAGGTATACTTTATTTCCCTACCAAATTGCTAGTTTATATTGTAGAGGGACTGCGACAAGGCCCGATGCAACCGGGTTAGGGAAGTAGGGGTATTCTCTTCCCGCGGGCTAGATCTCTGTCGTCATTTTGGCCTATATCTGGGGTAACTGGAGGTCACTTCGCTAAAACACAGAAACTGTGATTTTACGCAACATGTCGCACGTTTTAGTTTTACTGATGTACACGATTTTGACAGGAATGTTTAAGAATGCAAACAAATGAAAAACAAAAACGTGACCATCAGACGCCAAAATATCAGAAAGAACATTTTTTTCATCACATAAACTATTCAGCCTACCAAGAGCGATTGACACTGGGGTGCTCACCATTACTGTAGCTTACTCTATATACCCGGACTAGGCCCCGATTACCTGCCGCGGCCCGGAAACCTGACTTTGACGAGAGCCTCAAACCCAACGAGGACGGGTCGGGCAGGTGGCTTATAGTTTTTAATTCACCAAGAGTGCACTGACAGAATCCTATTATAATCCTACCCACATCACTAGGACCCACGGTTTTCTTCAACTTTAGTGTATTTTCTTTATTAATTTTATACCTTCAATTTATTTATTTTTTTTTAAAAATACTCGGCATACCTTCAGGACCTTCTCGCTCTAGGCTCCGGGCCCCAAGATGTCCCACACTCCTCTCACGGCACATGGTTGAAACTGTTAACTTTAGTTTTATCTTTATTTATACTCCCAACTTTTAACAGGCAAATACATAATACGGTGACTTTATACGAAAATTATAGTCAAGGGGAAATAAATCTTGTTACCCAGAGCTTGTTTTAAATTTCCTTACGATGGGTATATTTAAATTCATGGACTCTTCAATTAATGACCCAAGAGCTTTTCTGATTAATCTAAACTCAGATAGACTACCTGTGAAAATATAGGGTCATGATATTGACGGTATATCATGAATTTTGTGATAACGCAGAAGCATTTTCAGAACAAATGGAATTAAAAACCTGCCCGGTAACATAAGCTAAATATGCATTATGTAAGATTTTGATAAAGAGCTGGTCGTTCTTGCAATAATTGTTTTAAAATGGATAATGTACATTAATATATTTTGAAAATTTCACTCAAAATACTTTATTCTGAGCAAAGTTATGAATGTTTGAAGTTTTGACAAGAAAATAGCGCAATATTATACTCTTTATTATCAAGTATGATTGCTACGAAAATAAACGAAGCCCCATTTTCCATTTTGACGTTTAACGAAGATATTGTCGTCCGATAGTCTAGAGCTTTGATTTTCCGTTTGTAATGTAATTTAAATAACATTTGAGCCAGGAAAAAGATTTAGCAATTACATAATGCATTTTTGATAAAATAGTAGAATTTATCGAACAAACTTTGATTTCGGTGTTAAAAGGTATTGGAGAGCTCCTAGTTGAATTACGAAAAGTCTTAAATATGGCACGAACTGGGGCATTGTTACGAAGTTACTTAAAACAGTTATCTCCCTTTGTACGGCTCTCAGCTGCTAAGTGCTGAAAATATGTAAGGTCGCTTAGACTTTTAAAAGGGGGTAAGAAGTATAAATTAAATTAGATATATCTCTGTTTTAGCTTGAAAGACGCATTGTTTACACAAGGCCGTTAACGAGGGGAATTAGTAATATTCTGCTGTTTACACGAAATGAAGTAAATAAAACAACGCCCACGTCTTTTGACATGGTTACCAACTTTGAGACACAAGAAGAAGAAGGGCAAGACGTAAGACTTTTGGTGGTCAAGTTTGTATCGGGACTCATAATATTGGCAATGAATGACGGCAGTTCATATCTGTAGATGGAAATGTTCTTCACTTCTACTTCACGATCTTTCTACATTGTCATTGAAATATTGAAAGTCATCTTTAGTCCTCAAAAGAAGGCTTTAAATTTATGTTATCCACTTCAGTAAAAGAATTTTCTTACAGTTTACAGACATACATGATACAGCTAGTACAGTAGTAGTTGAATGGTAAGTATTTAATAACAAATAATACTTATTAATTTCTGTCTGTTAACTTTTACTTTAACTAATATGAAGAAAGAGTAGGGTGTAACGCCAATGTTCAGACCAAATTTCAGTTGATTTTCAACCAGTGTGCCACTGCACACGGGTATGCTGCAACCTTCCTAAGTCAAAGTGTGCCGCAAAAATTTTGAACGGCATACTAAGAAAATTTCTCAGTAAAGAAGCCAGCTATTTGACTGATGAAATTCGAAACACTGCTAAAGTAAGTTCAGCTCTGTTTTTCTTTATTTAATTTGAGTCATTCTATGTGTCTATGACTATAGTCTGGTTGTAGTTGTAGGCCTATGCTATCTATGACTTGCCATGTTTTTTTATCAAATTTAAATATTTTTCATATATATTTAGCCAGGCGTGCCGCTATTTTTTCATGTGTTCCAAGGTGTGCCGTTGGCAAAAAAAGGTTGAGAACCACTTGTCTAATCAAACAAAATATTGTGTGGGGTACATGCATGCTGAACTCGCACATGCCTGGATAGGCTTATAACTCAGACGTGTGCAGTGTGCACAAAGATAAAACTTCCATTGGGAGGGGGCTCCAGCTTCAGGTTACAGTCAGCTTCATTTTAAAAGGCCACTTTACGGAATTCATAAATGTATTACATGTAACAGTGTAATTGATGTCATATTTATCAGGCCTATTGGGTTAATGAGCCATACAAACTATTTTGGTGATCATTTCCACATTTGTTGGATGATGTATAGGAAAAAGATCAGATAAGAATTCCTTGACTACCATGTGACCAGTTTTTGTTTACTTCTCCAGGATACGTGCATATAAATTCTTTGCACACAACACAATAAAAATGCAAAACAGTTTGAAACATGTATATGAACTTAACAGTGGACAGTAAAAATACTGGTGATGGCCATTTATAAGGAATATCATAAACACAACATTTTTGACATTCATAGATATTTGATTTTATCTGTATTGAAATGTTGAATACGCCCTGATCTATCGCATATGCATGCATTGAAATTCAACTGCAAATTCTTCTACACACATTCACAAGTTGAATAGACACCAATTTGTTCACAATGGTTACGCCAGCCTTAAAAAAGCAATCAGAATCAAAATTCATCTGTAGTGCATGTATACATACACTCTGTTTAAAAAAATCAGATATCAATTTTATTTCAATATATTTCTCATTCTGTACTATAGTGGATGACATCTGATGTCTGTGTTCAGATCACATGAACTAATGGACCAATCAAATTAACTGTATAGTTTGTTTTTGGGACTGTAATTTTACAGTTGGTTGTGATTAAGGAAACCGTAAGACCAGAGCAGACTAGATAACCAGTACCTGCTGGGTGGGGGTGGGTGATTTTGCCAGTAGATTCGGAAACAAATGGTATACATACCTCAGACCCAACATGTTTATAGAGTCAGCTACAGTACTCAGAGTCTGAAGCCAATCAAAATGGCTAGACTCCAGTATGATAATAATAGCCTGACTATATGCTAAGGTTAGGTCACTGAGGGGAAGGCCAAGATGACAGACTTGCATTAAGTTCAATGTTGTGTACAAATTGTTAATTATATTTTGCGTTTAAAAACCCCTGACATTCAGTTTATTTTCAATTCTAATGGTTACATTGATAGATGTGCTCGATTTAATCAATGATTTGGAATGTTTATAATTTAAAATGATTTTGGCTTACCGCTAGGCGCTATATAATATATGACAATTAATGATGATGTACTACTAACGGCTTTAGCCTGCTTTGAGTGTTTGCCACTGATTTCAGGCCATTGCTGCAACCAATGGCAAGATGTTTCAGTCTATTTGGAAGACTTTTCCTGCTGATCAAAATATTAACACAGTCATCATGATCCAACCTAACAACATAATTACTGTTGTACCATATAGTATCTTTAATCTTAAGATGCATTATGTAAGATTTAGATAAAGCGCTGACCATTCTGGCTATAATAGTTCAAAAATATAGGATATAAAATAAATATAATATTGGAAATATCAGTCAAATTGTTTTATTCTGAGCAAAATTATGAGTGTTTGAAGTTTGACAAGAAATAACCCATTTCCAGTATGCCTGCCATCGCCATGATGATAAACAGTATTGATTGTCCTACCTTTTATTGAGTTATGTCCATTTCAACGTTAACTGATTATGTGGTGTGGTTGGTATATAGAGAATTGGGTATCTTGTCATAATTAATAAATTTAATAACATTTGAGGCCAAAAGAAAAAAGACCCACAATATACTAATATAGGCAGATTTGGCTCTTACAAAATACATCTTTAATTACAAAAAGTAAATATTGAGCAAATTCAAAGGTATGATCAGTACTTGTAGATCAGCAAACCAGACCATTCTAAGCATTTCTTTTTTCTATGATGATAATACGTACTGATAGTTGATTATATTTTGCTAGATGGCCTGTGGATCAGGTAAGATGATTGACAGTTTTTGTCTGATTGCTAATTGTTATTTGTAATTTCAGATATTTTCCCTTATTCATTTTTGTATGTTGAAGCTTTATTATTCGCCTACTGCTCAGTCATATTTTATGAACAATGTAATTTTGTGTTGTACAGTGTAATAATACCGGTATTGTTTTTCTAGAAGGAAAACTTTTGTATAACCACTAGTGTGTCCTTGAATTATTTTTTTATGTGAAATCTTTGGTTTTATTGTATTCCATCTTTGAAGTTTGATTGTATTTTTCACTATTCACAAATTATGATTAAGTGTTTTTACTTTAATGCCATTTGTAAAAGAAATATTCTAATTCCCCTCTGCGGCCTTCGAAGAAAGCAAGGGAGTATTAAAATGGGATTGCCGTCTGTCTGTCCATAAGTACTTCTGCTTCTCTAATTGAGGTAGAATGTAGATGTGCATAATTAGGTAAATTATATTTTGACAGATTTTGATGATGAGCCTTTTTTTTTCTTAGACTAAGCAGAGATACATGTAATCAATTTGATTAATCAGTCCTTTGGAAGACAATATCTTGAGAGAAAAATTGGTAGATAGTTTCCTTACAACATTACATTGACTAAGTTCAGTAATGAGTATTTTCTGCTCAGGTTAAGCAGAGTGATAAGTAATTAGTTTGCTAGATTCTTTATATAAAAATAAATGTGCATGTAATTTATAAGTGTCATCTATTTATTTTGAGATTAAGACAGGAGATATCAGCTTCACTGTTGGCTTGTTTTTGTATTGATCACCTGTGTCTGTTTGCCCGTCATCCACAATTTCTTGAACACATTCTACTGACTAGTTTTAATATCTGATCTATGTAAAAATTAGTATAGCCTATGTTGTTTATATTAGTAAGACAATAGGATCTATTGAATGTCAGTGATTTCTGATAACACTCAGCATTATTGCCCTTGATCAATATGTACTATCTTGTAAAGCGTTAAGTCTTCTGACAAAAGAAATCATTATTATTCAGTTATCATTTGAACTGCTTGAAATTTATAAGCATTGTTCAGAATAAGTGATGTTATTTTAGCACAATAAAATTCCTACTAGACAGTTATTATTGATCTATATATAATACTTTGTTAGGTTAGTTTGTGGAGTGATGAATTTGTAGAATAAGAGATAGGATCAAGTCTTTTAACAGAGAGAAGGCAAAGATTGTGGTTTTTTTACACCAACTGAAAGCTTACTAATGATAGGTTGTAATGATATTTTGAATTACTTACACAGATTCTTAACAGCACCCTACTGGATTCTTGTAATTGATTTACTTTTAATGGCGACCTACTAAAACAAATACAGTCAGTTGGCATGGTTCCAAAGGTTTGAGAATTTTCAACATTTCGGTCATAGCTTAGATGTTGGATGGTCATATAAAATATACAAAATACAATACAACTATATCATATTTTGTCAAAGTCTGTTAAAGGTAGATTTTATAGAAGCTTCTTCCTAGTGAATTTGTAAGTTTATAACTCTTGTTTGAATTGACATTATATGTTTTATTTGTGGGGATAAATCCTAGAGAAATGTTAATGTTCACTGTTAGTGTTCGTTTTAATCCTTATTAGACCCTTACCTGTGGCTTGGAATATTCTGAAGTTTATCATTGGATTCAAAACCAGAATATTCTAGTCTTCCACACTACATGACTGCACTAAGTCTTTATGGAGAGAGAGAGAAATGGGGTTTAACATCCACTCGACACAAACTAGGTCATTTCGGTTCTAACGTATGGTTTAATTTTATTTCAATAATTTGCTTGCGCGTAGGGGTCTTTACCAGTGGGAGGAAACCGGAGAACCCAGAGAAAACCCACGAGGTTGGACAGCGACCCTATTCCTTGTCATGTACAACCAAGGATTCGAAACCATGCCAGTTGACTCAATGACAGGCCTTATGATACAGCGCGCACGTACTAACCAATTCGGCCATCCAAGCCCCCTAAGTCTTTATGGAGAAATTATAGAATGTGACATTATTCAGTATATGACCAGTTAATATACAATCGGCAATCTGTTTGATCTATCGTGGATCACGTTCAAGAAATACAGATCAATTGTTAATCATTTTCTAAAAGTCAGTGATGTTTTATTTACTTGAAAAAGACTTGGTGGTAATAGACTATATGTAGGTACAAGGCACATGTATGTACAAATGTAGTATATATGTTAAGAAGTATAAGATGGTAAAACAAGGGTGTGGTATGGTGTTCGGTGTTATTTACCTGTACTTAGATTTTAAACTGTAACAGTCTGTCAGTTTCTTTAAAGCTGCTGGTCGTCATAGACAATATCTAATTTTTTAGGGTATAATTCATGGTTAAATGTAAATTGTTTCAATGGCATTTTTATTAATTGAACTGGAATATACAGGTCATAATTCTATGGACTGCACTGCTTATTACTGAGTGACGTTTCGACTAGGCATCATTATCATCAAGCATTATTGTGCTGATATATTTCTTTTAGAAAATCAA